ACTGCTCGGTTGTTCTAGTGGTAAACAGTTTACGGTGCTTTCTACAAACTAATCATTCTTCAAAGTGCATTTCAAATTAAACATTTCTAGTAATAGAGTTATCGAGAAAAAAAACTGCAAAAGGAATTCAGAGTGTAAAGTAGTTATACACCAGTCGTCATAGATCAATTCATTTTAGCATCGTGACTATGGATAATTGTGTTGCATTGTTTACACCGACATTTGTACCTTCCGGAAATTCTCTATGTTGGCAACTCAATTTTATTGGGTCAAACTCTGTACAAAGTCGATTTACCATCATCTCTTGTATACACGAAACGTGTATACCCACTGAAACTTATACTGGGCTGACAAAAGCTACGAAACGAACTTTTAAGTGTGATATACACGCTCTAGAAGCTGATACTAATTTTTCTAGCGTCAATTGAGGAACTAACGATAAAGGATAATGGACTTCATCAAACCAAGAACATAATTATAGTAGTTTCAGCCTCTACTTTTACTTCGCTTGTAAAAACGGGAAGTTTACTGGGTAAATACTACAAACACTTAACTCCTTGCTTGAAATCGATTTTAAACTTTAATCACATTTGCCTTGATAATGAGTTCCACAAACTTCTCTCGCACGTTCTTCGGGAACCGCAACGCTGTTTTTCAACACGTGCATTCCGTATATTTATTATGAATGGACCTCGAATTACCTCGATAAATCTTCTATTTCTTCGTTTAAAACCTCGTCAGTAGCCTCTAATTACCGTACCTGTACTTTCACCGTGATCAGTCGAATACCTACAAAATAAAGGTAAAGTTTATATGATACATTTCTTTAGTAAACAGAAACAAAAGGAAAGATTTTTCTTTTAACTTTAAGACTAATTAATGATAAAACATACAGGAATTACGAAGGAGAATCATTTTATTTCAATATTCCACGTATTGATGCATTATACAAATCTTAATATTATATATGTTACAGTAAATTTGACTAATCCGGCAATTTTACATAACCACCTGGAAATTATGCATAATCATCAATAACATTGGAGAATGGTTATACATAATCACCAACGGATTATGTGTAACCTACGCTTTATCATATTGCCCGGAATATATATATATATATATATATATATATATATATATATATATAAGACTAT